AGGACCGGCTCTTAACCCTTATGGAATATCGTTGGCAAGGAACACGGATAAGGGGCATGCTTCGCCAGGTGGCTACTGAAGGAGGAATGGATGCACGGTTTTTCGCTTTGGCTAGAGCTCGAACAGGGAGAACGGTAATTCAAGCTCTTGCGCACCCTAATCGTCAGAATGAACAACTACCAACATCCACCACACCTGAGTGTACCAAAATTGCAAGAGATTTCTTTAAATCCCTCTTCCTCTCTGACACGGCATCCATTCCAATAAATCAACGAAATAAAGATATTTATGACTTCCTCATACCTTTAAAAAAATCTCTAACTGAGTCGCAAAGGAATATGCTTGAAAGTCCATTGACAAAAGAAGAGATTTGGACAACTTTGATGCTCATGAACGAAGAAAAAACTCCAGGTATAGATGGACTTCCTAAGGAGTTCTGGGAATCCCTGTGGGAATTTATTGCCCAAGACCTAATGGATTTTTACCGGGATGTCTGGACTTCAGGTTGCCTGGGAGAAATAGTGGGGCAAGGGATTTTGACTCTTCTTTACAAAAAGGGGGATAAATGTAATATTCGCAATTATCGTCCTATCACCCTCCTCTCTGTGGTATATAAACTCATCTCAAAAGCCCTCACTATCCGCCTCAACAAACATATAGCAGACATAATTCACCCCGCACAGACGGGGTTCATTCAAGAAAGGAATATTCAAGATAATATTTTACTCATTAACGAGTTAGTTAAACTTTCTCGCCAATCTAAACATAATGCTGCTTTCATCTTTATCGATTTTGAGAAAGCTTATGATCATGTTGATTGGCTCTTCCTGGATAAATGTCTTGAGAAGTTTAACTTCGGACCAAATTTCAGAAGGTGGGTTAAAATCTTACATGAGAATGCATCTACAAGAGTTGTGGTTAATGGTAATGTAGCCCCTCCCATAATATTACAAAGGTCAGTTAGGCAAGGCGATCCCATTGCCCCCCTCCTCTTTGTATTCATTATGGAAGCCTTGGCAGCCAATATACGTCATCACAAAGATATCAAGCGCATCCAAATCACATCTATACCAGAGGATGCTATTCCAGTATGCTCTCTCTTTGTTGATGATCTTTCTCTTATGGTGGATGCCTCACATGAGAATCTTGAGGCAATTCAACGTATTATGGATGAATTTTGCAAACTCTCTGACATGAAGGTAAACTGGGGGAATAAAACCATAGGTTGGTGGATTCACTATCAGGGAGTTAGGCCTCCAGAACTTCCAATGATCAAGTGGCTCCCTATTCATTCCCCGGTGAGGGTACTTGGGATTTCTCTCTCAGCCATGGGCAAACCAGCATCCAATAATGAAGGTATCCTGAAACATGCAATATCTAGATTGGAATTATGGAAAGACAAACATACCTCGTTGATAGGAAGAACACTTGCCATTAACAATGTGGTTCTGGCTTCTATTTGGTACAAATCGGCGCTCTGGGCTCTTGATAAGGTTTTTATCAGAATCCTACAGGGGCAGTTGGCAGCTTTCCTTTGGCGAGGTAATCATGAATCCAAACATGTTATTAGCAGAGTAGCATGGCAATCAATAATTCTTCCTTTGGCGAGGTGATCATGAATCCAAACATGTTATTAGCAGAGTAGCATGGCAATCAATAATTCAACCCAAATCRAAGGGAGGATTGGGCATAATTGACCCCACCACTCAAGTGAAAGCGCTTTCAATCCAATGGATTAAGCGTCTTCTTTTCAACCCCCAAACACCATGGAGTATCCTAGCTATTGAACAGATCAGGCGCCTGGCCCCACCTACTCCCGAAGAGGTTGACCCGCTTATGTGGTTGGAGAATCGCGCGTGACCTCTCCCCAGATCATCCCCATCAGTCTCCCCAGATATAGTACTTTCTTATCGCCAGACAGTTAGGGGGGATCTTTCCAGGGATCCTTTCTGGATTGACCTACTAAAAACTTGGAGAAAACTCCCCATTCAAGATAAAGTAACGCCGGAAAGATGGGAAGAAGTTCGCCAACAACCCTTATTCAATAATACTCTAATCAGAGATGCACGTGGTTGCACCCTTCCCTGCACAGATTCCCCTTGGAAGGGTTGGATTTCAAGAGGAGTCACAAGGATTAGAGATATCTGGAATAAGGAGACCAATTATTGGATTGATTTACCGAATATCAATGTCAGATTGAAACACTGTCATCATCCGAAGGAAGCTTTGGAACAAATAATAGATATTATTCCTCTTGATTGGGTTAGGATCCTGAAGAAAGGTCCTACTCTCATGCCAAACGATTGGGTATCCATACATGATCAACCAGGGATAGTAGGAAAGATTAATGAAGTCCATGCTTCTGGCGATGTATTAATGACAGTTTTTAACTTGAGTGATGACGGATTCCTCAGGAACACTTCACAACAAATTGTGAGTCTAATCCAATCATTCAGCTTATTTAGGATTAGAGTTCTAACGATTAAGGATAGGCTGCTGGCTTACAAACCAGACACTCCTATTTCCCATCTCCCCATAGACCTTGTAAGTTGGTCCTGGTCTTCTTTTGCATATGCAGGACGCTCACATACCCGAACTCTTCATACGCTGACGGTAAAATCCACGTACAGAATGCTGCGCCCTAGGATTAATTTAAAGGATAGAATTCAGGAGAGATTGATGAAACACTTGAATATAAGCAAAGAAGATCTCCTATCAGTTAAATGGCTCCATTCAACCAAATCCAAACCAGCGAAAGTTGCATCACTACAATGGCAGATCACTCACCGATGCTTGCCAACCAATGACTGGATTATTGATAGAACGACACTGGAGCAAAAGGGTATAGCCCTTCCCTGGTGCGAATTCTGCAGATCTGCCTTTCCATCCAAATTGATCCCGGAAACCATAGAGCATATATTTCTACAGTGCCCAGGTGCAGTCTGGATCTGGCGCTGGTGGGATAGGATTTGGGATCAGATTGGAACCTCCCTGCCATGGCCATGGAATTGGAAAGCCCTCCTTCTGGAAACCTGGGTCCCATCCAGCGATGATAACTTCACAACCAATCTATTCACAATTGGAAGAAGAGCTATCATATGGGCCATATGGACGCGTAGGTGTACGTTTGAAATGGAGGGTGCACGGCTCGATGGTTCTGAGTTCACAGACTCCATTAAACAGCAAGTCCAATTAGAAATCAACTTCAGATGGGATTTTGTCAAAGAAAAAATTAAAACTCTAAAAACAGAAAAGGATATGGAACAGCACATAAAAACATTTAACCAAAACTGGCTTGGAGGGGACCAAGGAGGTAAAATAGGACAGGTTAAATGGAATGGAGAATGTGAGATTGCTCAGGATGAGCCCCCAAGAAAGTATATCTTACACTTTAATGACTGGACCAACATCGATCCCTCCATCCCCCTCAGGCCCTTTTCTGAATTCCCTGATCCTTTCCCTCCATCCAAGCTTGCCTTAGTTCCTATTTCATGGTATGGACATGCTTGATAGTAGTAGTCACTGTATTTTGTCTACCTGTCTGCGGGGAAGGTTTCTGGCAGCTAGACACAAATGGCAGTTTCAAAAGATCGGTATCTCAGCAAGCATCAATATTAGTCCCAGACAAACCGCTGGGCCTATTTTTCAAGGGGGAAAGTCTCTGATAACAGGAGGATTAGAGGTGCTAAATGGTCACGATTTTTTGGCACCCTTTCAGGGTGAAGAGGCACAAGGATGCTCTGATCGTTTCAGACGGGACGCTGGGCCCGGTTCCCAGCATGTGTAGTTCGGTGTCTCTTCAAGTGATCATGATGTAAAGGGACGCTGGACCCGTTTTCCAGCAGGTG